CAACATTGAGGGGCCAATGGATATTGTCTGGCTAATGATAGATACTGCCTGGCCAATTTGATTGAGGTTCCCGAAACATCTGCTTGGAGATTGCTTTAACTTTGGATATGTTCACTAAAGTTGGACTTTATCTTTTTTGCTTTGCCTTTTTAGAAGATTTGACTAAAGGCAGATACATGCAATATAGTTTCTATGCCGTAGGGTAGGTGGCATGACAATAACTAATAACACATGTTGTGTGCATTACTCTCGGAAAACTTTTCTTCAACTTTTCTGTACACCTCATGATTTATGTAACATCTACCCAAAATAGTGGAATGGTTTGTTTGCATCTGTCTTGTTTACAATCCATGCTGTACTTTATTTTATTTTATTTTATTTTATTTTATTTTATTACAGACTGTGTGTGATCATACATTGCAAAAGTGTATGTTATCTATTACTTCAGTTAGTATAATGAGTACCTCAGTATACGTAATGGAAGCACTTTTATTACCACAGATACTTTTATTACCACAGAGAGACCAGTTTGATAAACAGTATGATTCATAATAGATATCAGTGCACACAACCACATGTATAATAAATACAGCTTAAGAAAAACACTGAAATCTGAGTCTCTGAGTGCTTGTTTGATGGACAACTGATCATGTCACATGTCAGGTGTTCAAGGACACTCAAAGAATAATGCTACAAATTTGGTAAGGGACGGTCTTTGAATAGGAACAGAGTAAATGTTTCCAGAATTTATCTATTTGCCAATAAGTGTTCATTCTTTTGTAATAGTTTGCGTTTGCTCGATTGCAGTGTTCTCGCCAGGCCTTTTGAACCAACCCTCTATGCTCATGGTGATTTGGATCCCTATACTGTCTTTCAACCAGCATATGGGTGTTTTTTTACGAAAAAATTGCGAAAAAAATGAAAATATAACTTTAGAATGAAGCTACAGCAAAGGGAAAACATTAAATTCACAAAAAATTTTGACATTCATGATCCGCCAGACACTTTTTTGGCTCAATCAATGCACCACTTGTGCCATGAAAGTTGCCCTTCTGTACCTGACCTGCTATGCGGTGAAAAAATCCTGGTGAGAACCCTGGATTTGTTCTGGAATCAATGGTGCATTCTGCTGGGAGAGGCAAGTTTGAAAAATTTTACAAGCAAACTTTAGAATAATACTTTAACTTTTGCAGGTGGTGGTATTTAAGCATGATCCATTTTTGCATGGGGGTCATGCTTGAATGATAGAGTCTGAGCATTTCAATGTTTCTTGCTTGATGCATTACCATGTATTAGTTGTTGATGAGTACTTTGAACATATATGCATGAGAATACTACAAAGTCAAAACAAAACAAGCCAAAAACAAATTAACACCTGTCCATGCACACCTAAGAAGAAATCTTAAACAAAAAACACCCTTATACTCAAATTCTTACTGGGGAAGCATCATAATCTATGTGTAAAAAACAGCATTGTGTTGATGAAAACTACTAGTATTTAAATTTTCAGATACATCTAAAAAAAATAAGCATCCTGTGACACTGGAAATATATGAGGAACCTTAGGCTGTGTTTGCACATGGCAAAAGCAATGCATTATATATTTGCATGAATTTTTTTATTCCTAGCTACTGATTTGGTTGTGTTCAGACCTTTTAGAATACAGGATTCTAACAGTCAATGATGCCTGGTGCATGAAGTCGGGAACATAAATCAATACAGTAAAAATTCTAGAAGACTTACAGTAACAGTTAAAGTGTCAACGCTGTAGTACCATCTTATATCATCTTGTATTTTAGTGCTCCTCAAAGTGGTCCCTTATTGACTGTGGGATATAGTGTTCTGGCTCCCACGAGCTGTCCGATACATCATACCCTGCCCAGTGCACCAGGTACTCTGTCTGGCTGTTGTTCACTCTTTTGTCCAGTAGTGCTTCCACCGGGTGGTAGGTGTCTGCCTTCCCCTTCCCCTTCACAGTTTTCCCCTTCCTTGTTTTTCGCCTCCCGTTTCCCTTCCCCTTCCTCTTGCATTTCTCTCCTCCTCCTCCGACATTGTCTGCTGCATTGTCTTCAAGTGGCAGAACAATGCCGTCCTGAATCGCCAGGATTTACGACAGATTACGTCGTTATTTTCAACTCTCCAACGTTCAAGCTGCAAGTATCATGACGTAATCTGTCGTAAACTCAGGGTCCGACCTGTTTTGCGGGCCTATTCCTGAATTCAAAATGGCGCCGATCGCCGATGGTTTGTATGGAGTTACGTGCTCCGAGGCCGTGTTGTGGTTAAATGCTGCGTTTGTTTAGGGTCTTATCCCCCCGGCCCGGCAGGTGAGTGCGTTAGGAAGCCAGCGACACCAAAAAACCGGGGCCGGCCTGTTGCATGAGGCCCGGCACGGCAAAGGTTGGTTTTGGCCTATGCATTGCACCACGACTCTGTCCCGGCATTATCATGCAAAAAGGGTACCAGAGTCGTCCACGGCTAGGCCGAAGCGCACTCTCTTCACGCAATAGGCGTAGGGTGCAATTGACGAGGAACTGTACATATCTAAACTAGAAATGATTTACCTCGCCATGGAGTTGAAAGAGAGTGCTACCGTCCAACGACGCGACTAGATATACGAAAGTCACTGAGCCCCGACCCACGCCACGGCACACATCCCGGCTCTCTCCACGCGATCTCGTGTCCAGGCTCGCAAAATCTCGCGAGCGTTGTTACTGTATCTGTGCCGTACCTGCATGGCCAGAGACCATCTCTTCCATCCAGATCTAAGTGAGAATGGTGTCTCTCATGAGCCAGGAGACGTCTCCTGGCCCACTTATAAGTGCAACATGGTGGCCACCATGTTCCACTTGTAAGTGAAAATGGTGTTTGTATCCAAGAACACCTCGAAGCTGCCTCCCGACTTCTGACATGAACGCCAGAAGTGGTTGATGATGTGGCTCGCCCACTTCTTCAGTTCTGTGCAACCCCTCTCCTGTCCAGCCTAATTTCAATAAAAAGAGACAAACTTGAATATAGTAAGTGTCTTCCAACAGCATTTCTTGTTCACAACATTTATGCTTAGTTAGAATAATATTTTCATGTATAAACTGTCTTATTGAGCATAATGGTCATGTGGCAGCCTTTCTGTTTAATCTTATACCACAAGAAACAAACAGTCGCAAAGAACACTGTATTGCTGGTGAAATGCTGCTCATGCCGTTGCTATCACGTGAAGGCGGAAAGGATGATGAATGCTATTCATATGTACTTACCGCCACTATCTTCTTCAGCAGGTTCTTTGCACCATGCCACACATCAAGGGAGTGAAAGATGCCCTTCCTGCCGTACTCTCCTGTGTCTGGGCCTGTTTAGGAAAAAATAGTTTTGATAGTTCATGTTGTGTTTGCATATTGCTGTTATCACATATTTAAACAAATCAAAATTACTTCGCCACTTGCATGTATATCAATAACTAATTAAGACATTACATCATAGTTACTTGAATGCCACCACCCAACAGTAATATCATGTCATGCAACTGAAAAGAATTTTAAGTACTTACGCATCAAAGCACTGATTTGAGGATGTGCATCAGTGCACACCTCGGTCACAGGGACACGTGCTGCCTCCATCGATGTCATCATTCTCTGGAAGGCTGCCTTCTCCGTTCGTGCTGATTTCCTATCAGTCTCCCGTTTGTCCACGACAATGACAGACACGATGCCCTTTGTGTCGTGGTCCATCGTCGTGTAGGTGCAGTACTGGGCACAGTGCCCAGGTGAATCCATGCGCCCATCTCCTGTGTAGCAAGAGCAACTGTTGTTTAGCCATATCATTCAAGGGATCACATTTCAACATTACTTAAATGTACTTGTGTCCATAATATGTTGAAAGCTAAACATGAAGGAAGCAATGGGATAAGTTTGCAAAAGAATGTTTAACATCTAGCCACTTTTATCTTGTGACTGAAGCAAATGATATTCTTCTCACAGTTATTTGTATGACATACACATATGTAGACTGGAAGAAACCCTGTCAATCTGGCTTTACATTTGAAAAAAATCACATAATTACTGGGATTGCAAAGACGTAAAGACAATAATCAGCATAGAAAGGGCATAAAACTAATGATTGCATATATTCTTGAGATATTTATTGTGCTAAATAATATGTTACATACCTAGTAGAATAACGTTTTCTTTGTTCTTCAACTCTTGAAGGCCTCTTGCATTCTCATCCTTCCAGTACTGCTTGATGGCAGGCACGCAGTACTGTCCCTGTATGGAGTTGAATGTTGTCGGGCCAACACACCCCATGTTCATGAATTTGAACATGAGGTTCACCTTACTATAATTGTTGCCCGACAACAGGATGCTAGAGGCCAGCATAAAATCCCCCCCCCTGTAGTTTGTACTTGAATCTTGGCTGCGAGGACCACTTCCATTGCAGGTGGCCTTTTACACAGTTCTGTGGGAGAGAAAACAAACAGTACATGACATTAGACTTACATACTTAGAATTAGGGGCTACCGTGTCATAAGAACACATGACATTTAATAGGAATGCAACTAAACAAAACTCAAAAGAGTGATGTGGGTGAACATGAAACACACACAGCGTTATTAACACACAGGACATGAAAAGAAGTTTGGCAAAGAAAAGACACGTCCGCCTGTAACGAGTATAAAACAGGCTTACCCATTTCAGGATGATACCACTCCCAACTGGCTTTGTCTCTGGCTCCTTGTCCACCTCTGCCCTACACTCCTTTTCCTTGCACTTGTCGTACGGTAGCTGCATGTACCGTACAAGTGCAAGCAGGGACTCGGTGTAGCCAATCCAGCACTGCAGCCCGACGATGTCGCCCTCCTCTCTAATCTGTAGCTCCTCAGGGGAGACAAAGACATAGTCCTCGTCATCCCCCTCCGCCACAGACTGGTCGTGCGCAAACACTTCCTCCTCAGGGGATATGATGGGCAGGCTCCTCATGTCTTCAGCCAGCTTGCTGCATGAAGACCTACAACATATGGGATAGAACAAGACAAGAAAATCCTTATGATATGAAATAGAAAGAGAAGTAGACATACTTTCATAGCCTTCACTACCTGCTATAGATTCCAACTGGTTGTTTTATTACATAATATAGTAACATAATTCTATATAGCAATTTTTTCCAATAGGAAATACATTTCTTAGAAGTTATACTTACACAACTGAAACAGTGGAAGAAGACCCTGGGGAAATGCTGGAGATGTCACCAGCATTCAGGTTGGGAGGCTGTTGTGTCACATGTGGAGTGGAGGCATGGCTCGGTGTGACCGTCTTTGGTGGGCTTGGTGCATTTGAAGGTGGACTTTGTGGTGAACTGGGCCTGGGAGTGTCAGTGTCACTATGCTGTCTATAGCTGAAAAAAAGGGAGGAGTAACTGAGTCAGGATCACTCACTCACTCACTGTATAGGATATAACTTATAACTAGATTTCCTCGACATCACACCTTCGCCAAAAGATGTTAATCTTTATGACTGACAATTTGTAGATTATTCCCCCTGATTGTGCAAACAGGATCCTCATTTACATGAATTATATCAATTTATCATATTCTCAACCAAAAGACAGATATACTAACAAACAATGCCATTCTAGCATTTCCTCATAAATTATGCAAATGGGGTCCTGATTTTAATAGATTACCTTCACTGAACTTTCATATACCACAAGTATGAAATTCCAGGCAGTTATCATTACATAATTGTAAGATTTTCTCATTTATTATGCGAATTAAGTCAAAATTTAATCAGTTCCACGTCTCATAAAGACCTATCCACCTACCAAATATCAAGACAATCCATCTTAGCCTTCTTGAGTTATCACACACACACACACACACACACACACACACAGACACACGAACCCCTACGAAAACATAACCTTCTTGGCGAAGGTAATAATTATTCTATTACATCATGATGGATGTTTCCATATTGTACAACTGTCCATCATTTTTATATGTATTACAACATAGTACTAGTACAAAATTTGCATTCTTTCAATTTACACCACTGGTATCATTTCTCTATTTCAAGCAGGTGACTCAAATTGTTATCCAGCTAATTGCTGCACCCAACTCCCTTGCTTCAATTTGAAAATCAACAGGTTCTAAATTCTGTTGTATAATGCTCTACATATCTTGCAGCATCTGAGATTACCACTCTCAATAGCAAAGGTTAAATTGTTTGAACTTTGAGTTTGTTTGGAAAAAATGTCTTCTTCATGATCATTTTTTTTGTAAACAAAGCTACACAAACTTAATTTGATTCGGCCCTAGCCCACGTGACCCAGTCTCACGTTACGACCTCTTCTGTTTTTAGTTTGGCTAACACAGCCACGTTTTTTGTGTGCTCTGCAAAAATCAGCGTTTTTTTCTTCATGCAGCAGTATAGGGACTCTAAGAAATCGCGTAGGCGATTTTCAGTAAGCAGACGACCCGTCAAGGGACACATCGGTCCGTGTGGACCCGGGAATTATTGAGTGGGCGGAAGGATCGACGTCGTGGGACGCAAGCACACGCACGTTAAGTATGACCTCCACATGCAGAAGTTTCTCCGCAAGTTACGTCAGAAAAGCAAAGGTGGCAGACTTCGTGAGAGAGAGTTGGTCAGAAAGCACTTCTGAGGACTCGGAGTCAACGCAGATTCAGCATTCACGGTCACTGCCGCTCGGTAACCCTCCAGCCGCCGTTATTTGTTTGAACTTTCGTTTATTCATCAACAGAAAATTCTGTAACTAAATTCTTCTTCTAATTTCATATCACGCATACAGTAACCAAGATGTACATTATAAAACATACACTAACAGATATATGTACGTTGTGCAGAAATCTAGACAGTTCTGAACCACGCTGACTGCGGATAATTTTTACAAAATATACTTTACGCGATTCGACCTTCGGCACAACGAAGGAACATACGTCGGCTTGGTGGCTTGTTCATGTCGCTTGTTTACATACATGGTTTGTTAATCAACAAAAAAATCAACATGTACAGGCATACAGATATTATATGTACAATGGCATGCACGCACGTCGTATTGCCTTACAAAGCACGCACGCCGGCTTGGTGGTTTGTTTACATACATGGTCCGTTACTAGTAGAATCCACAATTTACGATGTGTAACCAAAATTTGATAAAATATGACGATATAAACGTAAGTGGAGAACAAATCGAGACAACACACTGACCGCTGATAACGTTACGTACATGGTAATAAATCTGTGCGACTGTGAGGTTCGGCCGGCGGCACAACAAACGCACGGCAGCTAATGTTTTGAACCGCTTGTTTTCATACATACATAATTTTCTAGGCTCGGCCCGGGAGAAAAGAAATCGCCCCCATCCCCCGAAAAAAACTAGGAATATCGTATTCAAAGTATAAACGATTCGTTGGATCAAAATAGGGTAACTTGCGGAGAGAATTGAAAGAATACACACAAGTATAAAACACGTCTGTATAAAATACGAACTCCACAAACCTGTTGATGAGAAGACGGGCCAAATCACAGTCTGTCTTCAGGCCGAGCGCGGATTTCAGGTCCCGCCACTCCACAAACATGTCGCCCAACAACACCCGCTTTTTGAACTTGTCCCTCTTCTTCCTTTTCCTGGCGGAACTGGTCAACCGATCCCGAGCGCCCTCCATTCCCGCCATTTTGTTTGAGAGGGCGAGCTAGTCATGACGTCACGAAGCCGGAACTTACCGAAGATTCCCGAACGAAAACCGTTGTTTGTTTACGTTCCAGCGGTGGCATCAACTGGGTGCCACCCGCAACTGAGCGCACATCGAGCGGACTGTTTTTGCGCTAACAAAATACGCCAGAAACGTAATTTAATGACGCAAAAGTGTTGAAAAGTGATAGTAAATGATGATAAGACCAAGATTTGTTAGATTCAGAATATTTGATTTTTTGGCGCAAAAAACTACATAGAGCAGCTTTAAAAAATCGGCACAGTTAAAAAATATAGACTTATATGCAAAATAGCCTCGGATAATTTTGATAAAAAAGTGATAATACGTAAACATGGATTCGTAAACATGGATTACTCTAAAGATCAATTATGCTGTTTTCAGCTGCGCGTAAAGCCGTTTAGGTCATACTCCGTGAATAAAATGCGTAACAACGAGGGTTTACAGATACAAATGACCGCCGGTAACCCCGAATTCAAACACGCGTTCTATTCGAATGACGTCATATCGAACATGGTGGAACATGATTCGGGTTCGAAACATGTCTGTGGCCATCGTGCAGACACACGCCCCAACTCGAACATGAATATCAGCCTAGGCCGCCTTAACCCATCCTCCTTCGCAGGGCTAAAATCCTCCGGTTCCCTTCCGGTTTTAGCCCTGCTATTTACCGCTGACAGTTTGACTTCTGGTGACGTCACTTATAAATAATTCATGAGCTTGCCTTATTTGGCACAAACCAATCAGATGTCGGGGGGCTTGCCCTAACTCTGTCTCGGCTTTGGCCAGGGCTTTGGCCGCTGCTGGGAAGCCCATATAGCACAGGCTCTTCCCTCCTCCTGTCCGCACACTCAGAAAAACGTCTCTGCCATCAAGCAGCGCCCGTAGCATCGACTGCTGATGCTCACGAAGCCGCTCGACTCCAAATAAATCTTGCACGGCTCGCACGAAACTTCTAGTATCTGTAATATAGCCGCCATCTTGGCCTGTCCCAACATGTAACCTGATTGGCTAATAGGTTCCCAGCGACCTTTGCGGTTTTTGCGCAAAGCTCGGTGCGCAAATTCTCTGATTGGCTGACAGCAGTTTGGCGGTGACGTCACCAGAAGTCAAACTGTCAGCGGTAAATAGCAGGGCTAAAACCGGAAGGGAACCGGAGGATTTTAGCCCTGCGAAGGAGGATGCCTTAACCCAACCGAGGGAGACGTGATGACGGCACACTCAGGTTTTTCAAACACTAGACGAAAACCGACGTATCTGGGTCGTATACTCCCGTACACACGCCCGGAAATTCCAAATATACGGACATTTCCAGGTGTGCGCGACCCGTACACTTGGCGTGTGCGGGCCCGCACACGGCCCGGATATGAACCACTCAGGTGTCCGGGCCATGTACAGGCCTGCACACGTCTGCACACGCCACCCGTAAATCTCTGCACACACCTGGATACGTGACACGTACCTCTGAGTGTGTGTATGAAATATGCATAAATTAGCGGTAATTTTCACCTAATTATCTTCCTCATTATCAGCTCGTGTACGGGTCGTACACACCCGCACACGTCCCCCCCCCCTCCAACTATGCCTTTTGTAATGTAAAGTAGCATCATAGCCGTTTATCCCCCTTCTTGTTGCATAATTTTGTTTTCTTTATTAATTGTACATGGTGCTTGGGCTTTGTGACTTTTTGTTTGTGTTTTGTGTGCCTCCAATATTTCCAGTGTACTTCGGCCGGTCTTTCAGCTCAGCTGAAACAAACTGTACGTCTCGTTCTTCTGTGTCTTGCCTTGACGCAGCTAGCTAGTCACGGGAGCAGATATTAGTCTCGTCTGGGCACCAGTCGTTAGAAGCCGTCCCAAGCTCTTTATTCCGCGCTGTGCAACAAGCCTCGCTGAGGCGGTGACCCACGGGCCAAACATCTTGTGCCACAGCACGGCCTTGAGTCGGGACACAGCGTATAGTCCGGAGGGGTGTACATCGGTCCTCTGGTCCGGTCTAATACTCTCTTGCACGCGGACTATCACTCGCCTATGCCCGCAGCCTGGTTCCCAGGATCCTGGCTACCGGCTTTCCAAAGAACGAGGCATACTCTGACGTTCACAATCTTCCCAATCAACCTCAGCTTGGAGAGTAGTCTTGTCCCAGTTCGTCTTGCCAGTGTCCCACGGCGTTCTTGTCTTGAAAACTGCTCCAATTTACGTAGAAAGGCGCAATACCGATATTCCTGTGTTGATGATGAGATATGACACAATCTCTCACCATGGACCCTTTTCTACCTCCATGCTCTCACTAAGTTCCTAGCGTGTTGCTTGTGTCCAGGATAGTTGTACAATGCACGCTCCACAACCAGGCATGTAACGGAAAGATTTCAAAAATAATGACCCGAGCGTTGATTGGCCCTCTTTTCAAACCCCAACAAAGAGAAATGCATGCAATTGGCTGGTCTGGTTTACAGGTCACCGCAGGAATAATGATATACAAAGAGTTGTGAAATGTCCTGCTTGTCTATTATGTAAAAGTTGCACGCACACTAATAAAAAAACATAGGCTATAAAATAGTCTGGAATGTTATCATCAACACATAATTTGCAGTTTACCCGTGTAATGTTTTCAACTTCGTGTTCTTAAAGTATAAAAATTAAATATAACCAAGGAAGTTAAACCTCTCTTATATAAAAACAACCAAACAAGGTAAATAAGACATAGGCGCCGTCTCGTCTCTAACCATGACACCACAATACACATCTTACAACAATGTACAAGTAAACTATGCCTAGGAACTATCTTTGCCTCTTCCAAAAAATTATTTTTACACTAAAGTGGGCTGATATTTGAAAAAACACCAGAGCGGTCCCTCTCATTACCAAAGAAAACGACCATGTTTCCAAAGGTGAAATATGTCAAGGTCGAAGGTTCCCAATAGACTAGTTTGGTAAAATTCTGATCAGTAATTGTGTTGTTGTTTTTGCCCACTGTAGATTCAATATGGTGCCGGTATAATTAGGCGTTAATATATGCGGGGAGACGATGGACCACACAAAGAAATCTACTCATTGTTCATAGCAAGGGTTATAGTTACAAATATATACAGGGATACACTTAGACCCCATTCATACCAAGGACGTTATATCATAACCTAGTTGAAGCTCCATGTTCATATAAAATCCTTGTTCATACCAAGCTTTATATATCCTTCTAGATTCTTTAGCAGAGTTTATATAAGCCTGGCGTGGCCCAAAAGTCAACCAGACTCTGGCGAGGGCGAGTTTATAGCAGACATCGGCCCCCAAACAACATTTATTCTATTCACCAACTTTTAATGTAACGCTGATTTCCTCTACCATCATATCTAGATGTCTTGTCTTTGTGTTGCGTTGCCTGTTACCTACAACGTTTTTAGGTAGTAATTCGGTTCATGGAACGAACTCATGTTTAGGTAGATTTCGGGAGTGAAAATAATATTGTTTTCTAACCAGCATTTTGCCCGTTCTTCTTACCGGCTTTGAAAACACATGTGCACCTCTCAATTTACGCATTTGCGAAACGATCTACATGTATGGTGACCCTTTATTGTTTGGCAGTACTTGCGACGTGTGACGTGTGCAGGCCCGTATATTCCCGTACACACGACTAATCACCAGGTGTCCGGGCGTGTCCGGAGGAATCACAGACCCGCACATGCCGTGGCCGACATTTCCTGCACACACCCGGACACACCCGGGCACGCCAAGTTTCACGGGACATGTACAGGTCCGGAAACGTCCGGATATTCCGATTTTTGAGCAGTG